GAGCAGGGAGCCTGATGCGGGACTCGATCCCGGGACTCCAGGATCATGACCTGAGCCGAAGGCAGTCGCTTAACCAACTGAGCCACCCAGGCACTCTAAACCATCCTCTTTTCATTTCTTCCTTTATCGAACAACATTCCTTATAAACCGTCCTCAATGATTGCTTTGGGTCTGGGTTTCTGTCTATAAATCTGGAAGATGTGGCCTCCTTTGCCAAGTATTTATAAACCAGTTGAGTTCCTGTTTATAGTTTGTGTTTTCTCCCGACCTCCAAGTCAATGAGCTTTGGAAGGCCAGGATTCTTAATTATTTGGCTCAATATTGAATCTCCATTCCTGAGACTACTGCTTGGCACATAGAAGGAGCTCAATAAATATTGATTGACTGAATGAATATTTGAGTGGTTCCATGACGACATCATCGAGGGAAATCAGAATGAGTTAGTCTACACCTGTGAGCAGAGAGACCAGAAGTACCCTCCGCTGAGCTCAAATTCCCTTTGTTTGAATTCATCTCCAGCCTTGCTCTTCATGTGCCCTCATGGACCTGTTAGCACCCCTCTTTTGGGCTATCTGTTTGGGTTGGATCAACTCATATACCACTTGTCCCCACAGGTAGCCAGCCTCTTGTAGGAAGGGCCACTTCCTATTTTTATTCCCAGGGCCTTGAGAACTGTCCTTGCTCAGGGAACATTCTACCAAACTGAAATTTAGTTATATAGATATAGCCTGTGGGTTTTAGTTTGGGCTTGGTACTTTCCCAGAATGAATAAAAGGGTTTGTGGAAAATCCCAGGTATTATATCCATCAGATGCTTAAGTTCATGCCTAGTACCATCTTCTCAAGTCCTAAGGAAAAGGTTGAGTCTTGAACAACTACTAAAACAATAGATAGCAACTCCAAAAAAAAGCGGGGGTGGGGGAGATCTGCAAAATTCAAATTAATAAAACATCTAATTAAATGTTCTCAAAGCATACCATTATGTCAACTCCGTTTTTTGCTAAATTTAATGCTCGTAAACATTTCATTACATTTGAAAATAATTTGTGGCTTTGACTTTTCTCCCTTCACAACAATTCCTGAATTTGTACAATGAGTGCTGAGAAATCTTAGCCAACCATAAATTAAATGAATTCCATAAAGCCAAATAAATGTGAAAGCAAAATTATAAAAATAGTTTCAAAAATGTTTATGATAGAAACCATTTAATGACAGACGTGGGTGTGTTTTAATATGGTGGATATGGTGTGGGATGGAGTACTCTAAAAGGAAGTGCACTCAGGGCCTACAGATATTTCAGAGCAACCTCCAAAAAACTATAGAATTTCTGCATAACGGTGCTTCAGTACTAGCTTTCCCCCTGTAGGATTTTTTGACTGGTTCCTCTAATGTCATTTGTATAAACCAGGTTCTCATCTGATCGATGTGAAATAATATCCTTGATCTTTGACTCTTTTGCTCATTGAGTGGCTTTTGCTTTTTTTTTTTTTAATCTAATCTCTGTTTTATCTTCTTCTTTCAGGAATCCTTTTCACGATGCTGGTATTTGGACCAGCCTGTGGATTTATCCTAGGCTCTTTCTGTACCAAAATCTACGTGGATGCAGTCTTCATTGACACAAGTAAGGAGTATATCTCAACTTCTCACCGCCACCCCCGAGCATGTCCTCCATCATAAGGGAGCCCTTCAGCCTTTGGGTTCTAAAACCCTCCTACTGAGGGGCAGCCTCAGTGCGTGGACCTCAAGCTGCTAGCCCACCAGAGATCAAAGGAAAGAGCATGAGTGTTGGCTCAGATGGCCTGGGATCCAGTGGTGGTCCACCAGTGTCCACCCGGAGGCTGAGTAATCCCTGTGGTTGATTTTACTCCTCAAATCTGGATCTTCCTCATCTGTAAATTAAGGGTAACAATTCTATCTGCTTCGTGGGGCTCCTATAAGAACTAAATGAGAGGATAGACGTAGAGTGCCTGGCATTTTCTCATTGAATGTTAGTCCATTAACCTATATGAGAACCCCACTTTCTAAGTGTGTTCTGGAAATGCAGATGTACAAACGGGGTCGATGAGACAGAGTATTTGAAACCCCCTTCTACAAGGCAGTGTTGTGGAGGCCTCTATGAAGAAACGTACCATAGCTCAGAACCACTTCAAGCAACACTTCTTGGTTCCTAGCAGGAAGAGTGAGTGTATTTCTCCAACGGCTCTGGGCCCCCCAGACCCTAGGCACACTTTGATCCACCAGTGGGCTGGTTAACATAGGCTAGGTTGTACCGTGGTCACACACTGTTCCCAAATCTTAAGTGATTTTATCCAACCAAAGTTTCCTTCTTGGGCGTGCTACGTATCTAGTGCAGGATGGCAGTGTTAGGGAGGGTGAGACTTGGCTCCTCACGGTCACTCCAGGACGCAGGTCACAGAAGCTTCATCTGACCCCGGCTTGCGCAGTTGCCAAGGCAGGAGACCAGGCTGTGGCAAGTTGCACACCGGCTCTCGAAGCTTCTCCTCACGTTTCTGTGGCCAAAGCAAAAGTCATGTGGTCTCTCAGTCTTCTCTTGCTGTGCAACAAATTACCCCACGCTTAGTGACTGAAAACAACACTGGGGTGTTGTTTATTATATCACAGGTTATTTCTGTGGGTCTGGAGTCCAGGAGCAGCTTGGCTGGGTGGTTCCGATTCAGGGTCCCTCATGAGGTTGTGGTCAGGGTGTTGCCATGGTGTCCACTCATCTCAACGCTCAACCGCAGGAGATTCGACTTCTAAGTTCACTGCCAAGGCTGTCAGTAGGCCTTGGAGGATCCGCTTTCAGTCTCATATCCCTGGGCCTCTCGACCGGGCTCCCTCTCCAGGGCTTCCCCGTAGCAAACCACCCAAGAGAGGGTGAGAGAGAGAGCCCGAGACAAGAGCCATGGTCTGTTGATAACCTTGGCTCGGAAGTGACATGTCGTTCCTCTTCTGCTGCATCCTGGGGGTCGAAAGCAAGCCACCTGTTCCGGTCTGCACTCAGGGCGTGAATACCAGGGCGTGGGATCCCTGGAGACCATCTGAGACGCTGCCCCCCATATGTGGTCACAAGTCAGCCGTGAGCCCCGAACAGAACGCTCCGTTTCTGTGTGCAGTTCAGTGAGCATAGGAGCCGTGTTTCCTTCCTCGCTGAGAACGGAGTGCGGGAAGCCATCCCAGCTTCTCCTCCTCATACCAATCTTTTCTCAGGATCAATAAGAGCTCAGTCCCTGGCTTCTCAATCCATCATCACTTGACAGTGCTTAAATTTACTAATTCACCCCAAAGAAATAATGTGGTTTTAAATCCAGTCAAGCCACTCTGTGATTCACTCCATTAATCCCACTGATATATTTACTTGTAGCTAATGATGTTACAAATTTGCAAGTGGCGGGGGTGGGGGGGGGAGAAAATCAAATGAAGCTTTGTTTACTTATTCTTTTAAAGTGCTGGCTCTGTTCAGGAGGTGATTGGATGCTGCTGTCTTGTGGCAGTTGGTGACCCTTTGTACCCTGCTCCTAATGAGCGGGACGAGGGGTGGCCTGGTCAGAGAAACATCACGTGGTGGGAGTCGGCTGCCATCTTGCTCATATGGACAAAAACAAGCCAGCTTCCACCACTGTACCAAAGGCAGCACAAGACAGGAATCGTAAAAGCGGGTGAGGGAAAGGGGTGCACCCCCCGTGCAATGGGGAAGGCTTCCTGGAAGGAGAGGCCAGGTGGCCAGGCAGTTTATCCTGCCCCTCAGCGTCATCAGCAGTGGCCCCCTTGGATCAAGGCCTGTGGGTTACCAGAATCTCTGAGCCAAGAACCTCAGCTCATTCTCTTCCAACCCTTCCATTGTACAGACGAGGAAACGGGGCCTAGAGAGGGACAGGGATGTACCCAGTCCAAGGGGCGTATCTCTATAAAACCCAGGTCTCCTGAGCAAGCATGTGGGCATTTCCACTTCACAGCCCCCTCCACCATGCAACCTCCTGGGAATTAAATAGCATCTTTTCTCTGTGCCTGGTGGACAAGGGGCTCGAGGGGCTTAGCCAGTTCATTCGTGGTCCCCATTGGTGTGCTGTTCCTTTGCATCGGGCTCTTCCCTCAGCCTGGAGTCCTGCCTGTGGTCCTGTCTGGTCTGCATCTTTCTTCACCCGTCGGGGCGCCGTGTGAAGTAACATCACCCATGGTTCTAGGCTCACTGGCAGTTTCGAAGCAGAAGGCAGATGGGCGCGTTCCTGGTCCAGCTGGGCATCTTGCTTATGGCATCCCCCCCCCCCCCCCCCCCCCCCCTCCCCCCCCACACACGCACACAAGCAAATAGCAGAAGTCCCATCCAGTGTGTCTCTAAGAAAGGGAAGGATGCCCTGTGAGTCACCATCTTTTGTTTGCTTCCTTGCTGAAGGCCCAGGGAGGGCTGGTGCTGTTCTTTACCAGTAGAGGGCAGAAGAATGTAATTTATTCTATCGGAGAGCAAGACAGAGAATTCAATAGTTGCCAGCAATTTTAATGATTTCTCATCTCGTGACTAAAACTTGTTCTGTCTGGAATGGATTCAGGCTGTATTTTGAGAAGGGGGTTCTCAATTCTTTAGGGGTGACCCTCCTGTATTTTTTCTTCACCGGTGAAGATAGAGGTCCTCCTTAGGGCTGTCCGACCTAGGAAAGCATGTCCTGAAGCCTGAATGGAAAGGGCCAGGCACACAGCGGAGAGCTGGGTAGGGGCTGGGGAGAGCCGTGATCTGGAACCTGAGGTGAGGCGGGCAAGGCAGAGCCCTTGTCTTGGGGCAGATGGAGGAGGGAATGTGCCCTGCACTGTGCAGCCTGGCCACAGATGAGGACACAGGATTGAAGGGGGGAGACCAGTGAGGAAGGCTGGTTGCAGTCTGTGTGTGGGAGGGGAAGGCAGTCCGTTGTAGGAACAGGCCAGCTGTGGGTGGGCAGACCCCGCGGGCAGCTCCCCAGAAGGACTCTGCTGGCCTTGTTTAGACACTGGAATTCTGCCGCGGCTACTCTCCATCTGTGTTTGATCCCTGTGGGGCTCCCGTGGCCCCTCTTCTTAAGGGGAGATGCCTCTCGTAACAGCCTGGGGAAGGAGTGATGGTGCAGCCAGAAGCGCTTTCGGAGAACATCTTTGTAAGACTGAAACCAGTTGAGAACAGAACCTAGAAGAAAGGAGGACTTGGTAGCAGGAGTGTGCCCCAAAGCACTGAATCGACCGACCTTAACAGTGGGTTTATCAGAAGAAGATTGATAACTGATCGCTTACTAAAGCTGTATGTAGATGGTCTCCTCTGAACTTCAGGACATTCCCCTTGGAGGTTGGGTCCTTCTGTCCTCCCACTTACCAGCTGAGCTGTTCTCATGCAGTGATTACGAGTTCAGAGTTCCGGTGCTGGAATCAGTACCCCTTCCAAGCTCTGTGATCCTGGGGGCCTTTCTCCACAAGGGTCTGTGCGTGGATGACATGAGTTAATCATGCCAAGAGCGTAGCACGGCGCCTGGTGTGTAGTAAGCACATGGTCAGCGACAGGTTCACTCCTTTCCACAGCGAGTAGGATTCAAAGCCCAAGCCTCCGTCTGACTCCAAACCGGGCAGCTTGTGTCTCTGGAATTTCTCCAGGACTTTTGCCAGAAGGCTGCCCCCTTCCCGTGGACAAAGGCCTTGCTGAGATGACCTAACCTCGTCAGCCCAGCCGTACAGACTCATCCTCAGGCATGCACCAGCTGACCCCACTAGGGCTGTGTGGTGTTTGCCCCTGGAATAAGATGGGTCCATATGTTTGCTTCCTGAAAAAGGTCAGCCAGCCAAGAGCTTCCTGCTCTGGGGCTAGCTGCGGGCTTCGTCAGAGTCCTTCATGTTAGACTAAATTAGCTCCACGGCCAGGATCCTGAACATTCCATGCTGCCGTCTACCCTTAGCCCCTCCCTGTCTCCAGTTTCTAATTTGGTCTGTAACTTAATGATACTCTTGGAATGCTTGAGTCCCATAGCAAAAGTTTCACAAAATAGGTTAGACAAATAGGTAAATGGACTGAAAAAAAAAAAAAACAGAGAGCCTACGGTACCACTTACACATTAGTGTGGCCTGGGAGTCACAAGTAAATATCCCCAATTTGCTTTGATTGGCCCCTTCTCACAGTCCGGGATATCCTCATGGGTGGGTTGGTTGTTCGGTTAGTTTTAAACTGGTTTGACTGTTCCCAATGATTTTTTTCTTTCTTACCTACGATGGTGGCAGCCCTCAGAAATGGGAGAAAAATCTCAATCCCCTGTGTTTACATGACCTTAAACAGAAGAAGCAAACACTGCCAAAAGCTTGCTCGGCTTACCCAATAAGACCACAAAAACACTCCGAATGTTGGATTCCGAGACATGGCAGGGTTAGAAAAATGGATCTTGTAAAGCAGAAATCCTTCAAGCCTATACAGACAGTTCTGCAAAGGCAGGCCGGACTGTGCCTGTCTTATGGTGTACAGACATCTCCATCATGGTGATGCTTTGCTCTACTTCCTCCACACCTGGAATGACGGGGCCGATGAGTGCCTGGTTGGTGTTAGCCAGCCCATCGGAGTCCCCTAACTGAGGGGTGCCATGCCTTTGTGAGCGTTGCTCCCTCAGCCTGGGATCCTGTCCCTACCCTGTTCTTTTCAATGTCTTTTTGTCCTTCGTGGTTGCAGTTTGATTGACAGTTAGGTACATCTAAGTAAATGAGACACGCGGGTACTTCTCAGTTTTGTTCTGGGCATCTTACTGACCACAGTCTTCACGAAAAAACTGAAACTGCAGTAATTTTTTTTTTTTAAGATTTTATTTATTTGCAAGAGAGAATGAGATAGAGACAGAGAGAGCATGAGAGGGAGGAGGGTCAGAGGGAGAAGCAGACTCCCTGCCGAGCAGGGAGCCCGATGCGGGACTCGATCCCGGGACTCCAGGATCATGACCTAAGCCGAAGGCAGTCGCTTAACCAATTGGTTAAGCCAGTTTCAGGAGCCACCCAGGCGCCTGAAACTGCAGTAATTTTTTAAGATCAAGATACTACCTAGAGCCACATCGAAAGAAAAGTAACGAGGTTTTCAACCCGTTCCCCACCTGTACCTGAAACAACACTTTCATGATTCCAAGCCTGCCCAGGATCACTGTTCTTGAAGAGCATGACTTTTTATTTCCTAAGCCTTTGGTAGTAGTCAGGGTAGGCTCAGTTCTGCTGCAGTAACAAACACCTCCAAAATCTCAGTCGCTGAGAATAACAACTAAAGATTTGTTCCTTGCTTATACACACAGCACAGGTCAGCAGTGACATTTTGTTCATCGTAGTCTCTCAGGGACCATCTTAGGAGGATTTCACATGCTTCACATGCAGCCGGGGCAAAAGAGCGTGACACATATCCGACCACTCACACTTCAGTGGCAAAGTTCTGTGGCGTGTGGCTATACCTAAGTTCATGGTGAGGGAGGGGTAATCCTTGTTCTCCAAAGAGGAGATCCAAATGAAGACATCAGTAACCTCAACTGCACCGTTCTTTGCTGGCCAACATAGAGAACTTTCCCTCAACATCAGTAGAACTAGAACATACCTGCTGACAGTGACGATTGCCAGGCAGGTGAGGAGGGATTTTCACCATCACTTCTGCGGAGGTGCCTTAGAAAAGAAAACTTCTCAGCCTGGGTTCAAGAATTAGCCATCTTCCTGAGAAGTGCCAAAATCAGGACTAAAACTCCACCCCCAAGCCAACCCTGACCTGAGGGCGGCATGCTCCAAAGCTGAGTGGTTTCTCCTCAGAACATTATTTCTCTCCCTGCCACGGTGCTCTGGATGGTTGCAATGGAGAGGGGGGAAAAAAAATCAATACTTCCAAAATGGTCAACTGTGATTTTCCTATAAAATCCTGCCCCCCCCCCCGCCCCCACCACACCTTGCTGCAGATCCCTTTCCCTCTCCTTGCCTGCACCACAGGCAGGCTTTGGTCTGACACAGGTCATGTGCTCTTCCCTGTCTTACAAATTACGAGCCAACGTTGGCTTTCCACACGCAGGCACATACCTACGGGGAGCGAGTTGACGCGTTCACATAAACATCCGCCTCCCCACTGCAACCCCTCTCCCTGGGATGTTTCCTCACGTGTAGAAGAGAGTCACTAACTTCCTAACTAAAATATGACTCTCTACGTGCTACTAATTTTGTTTCCCCAAACAACTGCCAGGATTTCTCTCTCTCTTCTACTGGCTCACATCTGCCAGCTTTCAATTCCCCCTTTATGGAGCCCATCGACAATGGAGGGAGATACCACAGCTCCCGTTTATGTCTTTTGTTTTCATTCATTGCTTGGCAGCAGGTGAAGAAACAGTCAGTAACTGGAGAAAACATTCCTGCTCAGCTACCCGAGGCCATCTGACTTCCTTTTCTCTTCTCATGTTTGCATAAAGATGCTTTCAAGATCACCTTGGGTTTTCTCATGCTTTTTTCAAGCTTTCCCATACTCAAAAACCCCTATATCTTGAAATCTGCATTCATGTAAATATATACCTACAAGTAGATAGAAGAGCTACTATGTACAAAGAGCCTATGTGTCAAGTGATCCTTGCTCGTTACCTCTTATCCTTGCACGCAGTCTTGGTGGATGTCGCCTTTATTTTGCAAGTGATCAAAGTAAGGCTCAGAGAGGGTAAGTAGCTTGCCCAGCACCACATGCTACTAAGCAGCAGAGCCGGGATTCAACCCTCTGCCTGCCAAAGCTTATACTCTTTCTTCTCTGACGTGCAGCTGTGCAGAAGCATCTGGTTCATGGCAGTGCCCTAGATACTGCTGTTGGGTGGATATCAATGCCTCCAGGAGAGAGACCACCGATGTTCCAAAGACCAACGGCAAAGTTGGTGATCTTAGGCCCATTGCACAAAGCACAGGAGTTAATCATCCACTCAGGGAGCCCAGAACAAAGCCTAGACGGTCCAGAAGGGCAGTGTAGCAAAGTGATAAGGAGCCTGGCCCTTGGCATCTGAATGCCCGTCTTCCAGTCTTCAACTCTGTGAACTTGGGCAAGGTATCTACACTTTCTTTCTTTCTTTTTTTTTTTTTTTAAGATTGTATTTATTTGAGGGAGAGAGAGAGCATGAGCAGGGGGAGCGGCCAAGGCAGAGGGAGAAGCAGGCTCCCTGCTGAGCAAGGAGCCCAACACGGGACTCGATCCCAGGACCCTGGGATCATGACCTGAGCCGAAGGCAGATGCCCAACCAACTGAGCCACCCAGGTGCCCCAGTACCTATATTTCCTAAGCCTCGATTTTTCTATCTATATAAGATTGGGATAATAAAAGACTCTACCTTGTAGGGTTGTGGGGAGGGTTGACCAGAACAGCTAAGAATATACTCTGCATACAAACAATGAATCATGGAACACAACATCAAAAACTAATGATGTAATGTATGGTGATTAACGTAACAATAAAAAAATTAAAAAAAAGAATATACTCTGCATAATGCCCAGTGCAGAGTAAGCACTCAGTGAATGATGGCTGGGCTCTTTATTAGTGGTAGCTGAAGAGTCTTCAGGGAGAACATTTTACAAATGGTGAAGTGCTGGTCTGGTGTCTGTGGTCATTTCTCTTCCCAAGCCTGTCCATCCATCTGGTCCAGGGCTGTAGTCCTGTTAGTTCTTAGCTCATATGCCCTGCCCCCATGTCCAAGAATGTCCTTCTGTGGTCCAGAGGTGTGGGACTATCATCAAGAAGACATTTCTTTTTTTTTTTTAATTTTTTATTGTTATGTTAATCCCCATACATTACATCATTAGCTTTAGGTGAAGTGTTCCATGATTCATTGTTTGTGCATAACACCCAGTGCTCCATGCAGAATGTGCCCTCCTCAATACCCACCACCAGGCTAACCCATCCTCCCACCCCCCTCCCCTCTAGAACCCTCAGTTTGTTTTTCAGAGTCAAGGAGGCATTTCTAAGCAGCTTATCTGAGAGTGCTCTATGAAGGGTAGTTGTAGAGAAAGACAAAAAAAAAAAAAAAAAATCTACCAGGCGGTAGGCTGTAGTTTATGTCTTCATGACTTCAGCTGGTAAATCAAAGAAATAATAGCACAAGACAGCCAAACCACATGCATGCTACCTTTAAGCATTAAGTTGGCTGCAAAGCTTTCTAATAAAGGACTGCCCCAAACCACAGGCCACCACCAAGATTTGAATTAACCTACCCACTAGCAGTTTGGAAACAGGATCCTAGCCGTAAGTATGAAGCCGAAGTGTTTAAATGCTCAAGCATATGCCAGGGACTATTCTGAGCACATTATATCTGGTGTCGCTCATTGGATCCTCCCTCCAAACTCCAGAAGGTGCTGTCACCGTCCTCATGGTCCTACAGGTTAGTCAGCGAGGCACGGAGAGTTCAGATCACTAGGCTGGGGTCCCGCAGTGAGAAGTGGCAGGATTTCACTCCAGGTATCTCAGCTCTTGACTTCATTCTGTGCCGTCCCTTACGATCTGTGAACCTGATTTGAGACCGAGAGTGGGGTGTTGAATGGGATCTCCAAGTAGCTGCTTTTTGAGGGGTGCGAGTGAGTACCCCACAGTAAAAAATAGACCTTGTGCGTCATCAGCGCACCCAGGCAGCTCTACCGAGCCCATCAGTTCCAGCCTTAATTCCAAGGGTGTCTGGCTTCTCGCTGTTTTTGTTTAGACTGATACAAACACAGGGTAGACAAGAAAATTAAGGAGGGAAAGCAATCAGCCTTTGGCTTCGGGAGAAACAGGAGCACTGATGTGAACAAAAGGCTGCCTTTTGAAGCGTCCAGCCCCCCTGCTCCCTCCCTGCCTCTCTCCCACCCCGAGGCTGTGTCCAGAGCCCTCTCCTGTCTGTGCACCTGACTCAGACCCTCAGCCATATCCCGGCCCGGCTGTGTCCTCTCCTCCTGACTGTGCTCTTTCCCATTGCAGGTAACCTGGACATCACTCCGGACGACCCCCGCTGGATCGGAGCCTGGTGGGGCGGCTTTCTGCTCTGCGGTGCCTTACTCTTCTTCTCTTCCCTCTTGATGTTCGGGTTTCCACAGTCTCTGCCCCCACACTCAGACCCTGCCATGGAGAGCGAGCAGGCCATGCTCCCCGAAAGAGAATATGAGAGACCCAAGCCCAGCAACGGGGTCCTGAGGCACCCCCTGGAGCCAGACAGCAGCGCCTCCTGCTTCCAGCAGTTGAAAGGTAAAGGCACCTCGAATGTGGGTGGCCAGAGCAATGGAGGAGGGCTCGTCTAGGCCGGTGGGGGAATGGAGGACACTCAGGACTGGGTGCTGGGGGTTTGAGGTACAACCACACTTATTTTGCATGGTTTGCCTTCTCTGGCCCGATGCTTAACGTTAGCCCTGAGAAGGAAATGACCTGATGCTCAAAATAAAAGCAGAGTAGCTACCACTCAGCGAAGGGGCAGCAGACCAATCTCCCCAGCAGAGACCCCTGTGCTTACCAAAGCTCCTGATGCATAATAAGTAGACATGTCTGTAGAAGGAAGGTTCTAGACATCTCGTGGAGCCCTTGGACTCTTTCTGACCACCACGTACAAGTGCGTTGTAGCGGGAAAGGACTTGAGAAGCAGGGCTTCCTTTGCCTGATTTGGGCATTCTTCAAAAGCCACATCCAAAAGCGCATTTCCTTTGAATCGCTCTGTCCTTCCATCCCCTCCGTGTGAGACGTGTTTCTCTGGAAGGAAGTGTGAACTCTGTCTTAATAACAAAGTCACCCTTGAGAAGGTGGCCAAACTCTCGGTTTTTAAAAGAAACCGAACGCATCTTTTCTGACAAAATGGAGCGATCCGGAATGAGAATGAGAAGCATGCCCCCCACCCCGGCCCCCGGGGTTGTTTCCACATTTGGCAAAGCGTCTTCAAGGCAAACAGTGCTAGTGCGGCCTCGGGCCACTGGGTGTCTGTCCCAGCCCCCTCCCCACCGCAAGGTCTGTGCCACGCTCCTGAAGTCCCAGGACCCCTCCCGTGGGTCCCCCAAAGAACCTGCTGGGTTTTTGAAGTGGGCAGTGGCAAGGCCGGGGCCCTCCTCCTCGGTGAGGCTGGGGCGGGAGGAAGGTGGATGGTCACCTGTTGGCAGGATCCGGGTGCACCTGTGAGCGGTGCCAGGCTGCCACGGGCCAGCTGAGAAACTGGGTGAAGGTCTCTTCACCGAGCTTTTGTATGACGAGGAACACTTCCTCCGGAGGAGCTCAGCACAGCCCCTGTGCTGCGGTCCCCACTCCGCTCTTCACTAGAACTGGGATCATTACTTTCTGCACGCTTCATTTCCACAAGCGTGCAGTTGTGATAGCGTTCCGAAGTCACAGTGGGGCCGTGAGAATTAAAGCACGGCCCGCAGAAGACTCTCTGCTGATAGTGCCTGTTCGTCGGGGAGGGATCGGAAGAACTTGTGTGAATTCCCAGAAGAGACTAATTAATAATCTAAGGTTATGTCTGAACCCATGTTCCGCGATCGTTTCTACCAAGGTAGAAATCTGGAATTGTCCGTGGAAGGTCTTCAGAATCGTCTAAGTTCCAGAATGCACGGGTAGAAGGCGGCCACCCACACTGTGTCCATGGGGGTTGCCTTGGCTTGGACCCCCAGGAGTCTGTGCTTAATAGAAGAGCCCCCTCCTGCCCCACACACACCCAAACAGCCAGGCAGAGGGCCATGCTTACTGCTGTCCTAAAGCATAGGCAGCCGCACAGGGGGTCCCAATAACCAGATCTGCAGGAGTAAATGGGGCTGGCCCAAGTGGGCCTTGCGGGGGACACCCTGGACCAGAGCAGCGGCAGCCTTTCTGGGTCTTTCTTTGTCCCAGGGTGATTGCAAGAGCTGCACCAGTAATCTCTTATCTTTCATCTCTGAGGATGCGGAGATGAAAAGATGTAATCGTGCCATCAAAGTACTCACCATCCAGTGTAGGGACAGACCAGCAAGCCGGCAAAGGCAGCCCAATGTGGAAGGGAGGTTATGGACGTATTGGAGGCAGGCGGCGGCGGGGGGGAGCCCACGTCTTGGGTCAGAGGCTGAGGGATGTCACATCTTCAGAATTCTTGGGTGAGGATTCAGTTGCTTGTTAACTCCTTTGTTCAGCATGTACTGAGATCCTGCTAGGCTCTAGGGACTCAGTGGTAACCCAGGCAGCTTGTATCTGGAGCTAGTGCTGTAGCCGTGGGGGGCGGGGGGCCTCCAACAGGCAGAACTGGAGCAATGGCAGAGTGAGTGTTGGATGTACCGCGGCTGACCTGGTGCACATTTGGGTAGACTGGTCTGAGACTCGCTATAGGCCGTAACGACCGTAAGTTTTGGCCTGTGTACATACGTGGGCTCCACTTCTAATAATTAATGATTTTTAATTAGAATTAACAATTCCCAGAGGCAGTAGGTCTATTAATGGACCTAAAGAATGTCCCAGCAGGAAAGGAAGGCAATGTGTCTAGAAGAATCCCCAGGAGCCGGAATCCAGCGACGTGAGCTATTATGCTAATAAACACATTTTACATGCCCCAGCACATGGATTGGGGGGCGGGGCATGGTGGTTTACATCCTTCATTTTTCCACATGAGACCATGTTTTTGCCACATGGACATTTCCACCAAAAGCACCATGCAGTGTCACCCGGTGCTCCCAAACTCTTTCTCCGGTTTGCAGCCTTGAAGGCCCCCGTGGGTTCAAGGCAGAGCGCTGTACATTTATGGGTACAGATAAGCTGAGCAGTGTTGTGTGTGGAGGAATTAACATTGCTCTAAAAATATATATGTTGCAATTTCTCATCTGTTTCATTTGAGTTTGCAAATGGGTTTCTTCTTTGGCCATCAGTCCGTGTCCCCTGCCATGCTCCACAGATGGGGGAGGGCCCTGAGAAGAGCTGGTGTCGTGTGCTGAGCAGCTGTTCCATCCTCCTCCCTGCACCTCCCGGCACCGAGACAGTCTGCCCCCCTCCTGGGAGAGCAGTGGGGCGGTTCCAACCCCGCTCAGCCACTTCCTGATCTTGCAGCCTTGGCCGTGTTGCTTAGTTCCCCTTGGCTTTCACATATGCTGTCTGGTTAACATTATTACTTATTCCTGTTTATAGATGAGGAAACCAAGCTCTGGTGATCTAGGACTTCAGGCTTACTTTTCAGGGCACTGTCCCCAAAAACGAGTTCCCAAGCACTTCCCAAGCACCCTCCCACTGGGCCACTGGGTTTGAAGGTCTCCTTCCAACAAAGTTGGCCATCACTGGGTTTGCAACTCTTAGAAGAAGAAGAGAGACAGAAAGCCCAGAGTGGTGTTCTATAAGTGTAGAGAAGCCGTTACTTCTTGCACGGCCCAGAAGTCCCCATCTTGTAGGGACTGACACATAACTGTTTAACAAAGCAGGCAGCCGGCAAACAAATGCTTGGGTTTGTTAAACTCCAGTATCTTCCCGGGTGGGAGTCTGCAAACCCAAGACAAATTTGTGCATCTTAGCTGTGCCACCAGATAGCTTTTTCTTTATGCCCTGGCTCTAAAGCCCCTCTTTGCCAACCTTATTCTTCAAAGCATTTTGCTGATTCATCTCTCAGGACACACCCCGCCCCCTCTCATCTCTCCTCTGTGTCTAGCACTGTGTCTTCTCCTCCTCTCCGTGCCATCGCTGTGACGGGGAGGACAGCACCCATGTGGCCTCCGGAACCTAGACGCTCAGAGTTTGCACAACAGTTTGTAAAAGTCTAGGCCCAGAGGAAGGAGGGAATTCGGGGGACTGTTATAAACAAATGTACAGTATTATCACCAGCTAGTATGTTAAATCTCACGTCCGTAGTTTGTGCTTTATTTGGAGATTGTCTCTGCTGTCACCTGCCCTAGATGGGCTTTGATGGTTGGGGCCCAGGGTGCTCCAGTAGCCATACTCTGTGCACCCTCCTCATCATGCTCTGTTTGGTTCCTTCAACCCATCAGGCACTCTCCTTTTTGTTCCGTTGTCGGCCTGGGACACCCTTCCTCTCTGGGTTCACTTCTGGGTTAGACTCGGTCCCCCCTTCCAAGGAGTCCCTCCCTGCAGCCCCCCTGTGCCCAGTGTTGGATTAGCTGCATTCCCCTGTCATCTACACAGCCCCTGCAAAGCACCTGTTACCCCGCCACCTGGTGGCTTCTCAGCTTGTCTGCCTCGGCCCAGACCTTGTGGGTTCTCCGAGGACAAAGCCTTCATGCATCTTTTTGTTTCCGCTGCACAGCACAGTGCCAGCATGTAGGTGGTGGTGGTTGAATGAACAAACGAGCGAACAAATGAATATTTTCTTGCCGGCGTGCACACGTGCGTACACATACACACACTAGCAGCGAACGTCAGTTTTCCACACACTGTTCCCTTGCTGTTCCCTCAGCTGGAATTCTGATCCCATCAGCAGGCATCAGCTCGCAATCATGTCCCTAAGGACATTTCTCAATCTACCCCCCCCAATCCTATGAGGCATTGATACCGTTTTACAGATAAGTAAACTGGGGCTTAGAGATTGAAAGGAAAGGTGTTTGGACCCTGGCAAGGGCCCCAGAGCCTGTTTTCTTCAGCACAGCATTATGCTACATCTTGCCGCCATAAACGAACTTTCTTAAAGGAAAAGTGGGATCAGCCGGTGCTCGCTGACTTCAGCAGAGTGTACTTAAATTCCAGCTGCTGCTTGCAACAGCACCAGTGTACCCTAAAACAGTGGGTCTTCTGGACGAGGCTACAGGCTAAACGGGAGGGAGGAACCCACTCCCGGCAAGCGTTGGCACGTCCTGGCCCTCCGACGGGCTCTCTAGCTGGGATGAGTGGAACTGTTCCAGAGGTTTAAAATCTGCAGGGAGGGCCCTGCCTTTGATCACCGAAAAGAGAAGAGCAGTCAAAGCTGAGCACTCTTGTCTCTGTGCACTTCACGCTGACTGCCAAGTGGCCTCTTCATGTCCCAGAAAAAGCTGCATCGAGTCATAGCAGGGCAGAGCCAAGCCGGTGGGGCTTGGTTGGGGCTTCAGGCTCAGCCTTAAAAACCACCCGCAACACGTGGAGGATGGTTGACGAGTTCCCAAGCCCTTGCGGGGACCTCCCACTGAGCCCCCACAGTCCAGCTGATGAGCGAGTGGTACTCATCTCCATGCCAACCACCCAACACAGAGCTCGGGGTTAAGCTGCATTTCTGGGTTGTCACCGCCGTGAAGGATGCAGCTGGGATGGGGCACTGCTCTCTGGACTCCGGATCCCGTCCTCTCTCTACCGTGTGTCCCTCAGGGATTCGCTGGACTGGTAATGA